TAGGCTTGAACAGATCATTCACCTAAAAGTATTTTCTGATTCAAAGAAATTTATTGCAGCTCAATATGATTTTAAAAGGTCTGTTTAAAATTTGGCATTGTAATATTCTGTTCCCTACACCTCTCGGTAGGGAGCTACCCTGACTCCTCTAAAAAAATTTGCTATGCTTTTTCTTTGGGAAAGAAGAGGTAGGAACAGGAAAAGGTTCTAAACACACTGTACTTTGGTGTGGTTTCCATGAAGCTTTTCAGCCAGCAGTTCCTGAAATGGTTTTATTCAGCACTCTAATAACATGTGGCTGGATTAGTTGAATTTTGAGATGGAAACCTTAATAATACATTTTTTCACTCCTTTGATAGTAAGAGACATTTGGTGTGCAAATGCTTGGGTTTCAGTGGAGAAAAATCTCTTCAGAATTCACAGCTGAGCACCAGCAAACGTGCATTTAGGTCAGAAAAGCTTCTTTATTCACTCAACACATTAAAAAAAAACCCCTTTTATTTATTTTTCTCATTTACTATGCTCTTTCTGATGACTTGAAAATAAAATTTACTTTCTTCCAAATTTAGTAGTTTCTAGATTTGAGGAAAACAGTATCATAAACTTGGTTTGGGTGAGTTGAGTACTGACAGTGTCCTGATGCCCACTGATGGATGCTACTCTGTTGTTCTGTGGCCAGACAGCTGATTATTACATAAGATATTAGTTACATTGAGGTTAAAGGTATTTTTATTAGATTTGTTGTTACTGATATTTCTTTGGAATATTTGTATAAGTGTTTTAGTGTGTCACTTCTTTCATGAATAGGGGAAGTGGAACAGTTTTTGAATGCCTTTGTCATGAAGTAATTTAACTATTATTCTTAAAGTGATAGTAAATTCAGCAGTTCAAGTATGTATGTGTTAAATCAGGCTTCTGCATGAATGCTCATCAGAAACTTGGCTAGATAGTTGCTAACATATGTACCTTATTATGAATTCTCTCCACTTTATTAACTTTGCAACAATTAGTACAGGTAGGGCCCTTTTCAAGTACATCAGAGTGTATTTGCTCTTGTTCTGGGACGTTTTTGTGATTCTCTGCCGTTGTAACTTCTGGCAAAGAGAATAAGGAATCATCATTCACAGGACTGCTATTGAAGGTGCTCTGGTAGCTACAGATGGCTGCCTGGTCATTGATTTTGTGAGCAGAAGTGGATGAAATAGTGAAGCTGGGACTTCAGGGCAGCTGCCTGTCAAGTGAAGAAGTCATGTTAGAGGTTCTTATTGGGAACAGCAGTGACAGCCTGGGAGGAAGAGGACACTGGTTGTGGCTTGAAGCTTGAGGGGAGGATACCTACCAAGTATAAACCCTAGAGATCAGGTGTTTGAGGGTGAAAAAACGTTTTTCATCTTGGACTAGAGTCTCTCTTGATGGACAGAATTTATATTAAATGAGATGGTAGATAGAGTTGTTTTTTCAATAATTTTCCTCAGATTACCTCCTGAATATCTCAGCAGGTAACTAATGAAATTAATCTATTATAAATTATTAGTTGATTCAGCAAGCTGTTTATAACTCATGCGGTTCCTTATACTGATTGTTGGTTGGAAAGAAGGAAGATCACCTAATACCTGTTGTCCTTATGTATTGAAAATTAATTTTTAATGAATACTTACATGGTTTTAAAATGAAAGGTGGCTTTTGGCAATAGTTAGAACTCAATTGCTAGGACTGTTTCAGACTTGAAGTGGTATGTCAAACACTTTTTTCCCCCCCACTCTGTACTGTTAGTCTAATGAAGTACACTACATCTCCATATTATCTCTTACCACCTCAATGTAACAGTTAAGGTTAGAGATAAGAAGCTGGTAAATACTGATGTAAGCCTTGTTACTTAATTTATCATTGTAGATGTAATGTAAAAGCAACTGTCTTCTATATTTGCTGTCTTGGGTATTAAAGAATTTCACAACCATAAAACAAATGTATCAGAATCTAGTCACTATCTAGTTGTCTTTGAGATTCAGCTTGGACTTCAAATGAGGGAAGTCTAGGCAATGGAAATGATGCTTATTGTTGGATTTAGGATTGAATGACAATCATTAACCTACTTGGAAAGCAGGTATTTATAATCCAACCCTCCTACTAAAATTGTGTAACAGATGATTTTTGGTTTGAGGTTTTTTGTTTGTTTGCTCATTTGATTTGGGTTTGTTTTTTTAACAAGTATAAGAAAATTTGCTTCATTTTTGATGCTTTACAATTATTAATGGGAAATTCTGAGAAGTCATTTGATAGTGAGTATATTCTAGAATATGTGTACGAATTTTTTCTCTTTACCTGTGGGAGTATTCATGTTTTAATTTCCTGTGCAGGAAAATTAAGAGGGGACAGCCCACAACAAATTCTGTTTAATTCAGATATTCAAAGACTATAGAATAATGAGCTATTGAGATTATTTTGTCTGATGACATGAGTAAAATGGACTATGAGAACTAGCAGAATACACATGGTTGATTTTAAACCAGGTGGTGTTGACTGTAATATTACTTTTGGATGAGTTATGCTTTTTAAGATTTAGTTCTCCTTTCCATTAGCTATTATTATATCTCTAGCTGGTATTTCTGAAGCCACATCATTGTGTGGCTAAGTCTGTTCAGAACTGCTGCTTAGCAAGGTGGTCCTCTCATGCTGTAAGGCTCTGTGTTTCTGGTAGCCTTCAATTTGACAGTATAGAAGCACACATTTCAAGTGTGCATCCTGGTATCTGGGGTTGTTCAGTGCCAGGGACTTGGGTGGCTTGTAGCATGCACTAATAGACCTGTGATTTATCTGTCAGAACAAGGTAAATTCGGATTTATTCCCTTTTTTTTTTTTTTCTTTTAGGAGTTATATACCAAATTATGGATATGCAGCTCTAATTTCCACTGTATCTTCTGTTTTCACTAATCCAGATTGTTGGCAATTTTCCATGTGCCTTACTTGTAAACAGCTTCCATCCACATTCTGATTTCTGAAGCTGTAGATTCCAATTCAGGAAAATGTTTAACTTCACATGTACCTATTGTGCACCTTGAAAGTTAGGAGGAATACAGCCACCAATGCATTGGCTACATTTGAGCTCCAAAGCTCTGGTAGATTTTATCTCTCAGACACTATTCTATCCCATTAGACATTATAAAAGAAAAAACACATTTGTATTTAATGGCATATAGTATTTTGCAGAATGGCAAGGGTGATTAGGCATCTTTACTTGCAGCTTTCACAGCTGAATGTGGACTTTCTCAATAATCATACAATATAAATTTCAAAACATTTTCTTCCACTACCTGTTGGCTTCAGGGGTGTTTAGTGAATATTCTATATATCCTTTTGAAATAATGCTAGAAAAAATGTTGGCTATGTAACCTGAATGACATAAATTTGTCACTGTGCCTCTGTGTGGCCTGTTGCAGGACATTTTGGGCACCTTGTAGGAAGAACAACAGCATTAGGGTTTTTATTTCAAAGCAGACCTTTAGATACGTTCTGATCTGATTAATCAGGTAATATCTCTTTAGAACACATTTTTCCTCTGTGGTGTCTTTGAGGTATATTTTAATGAAAACTGTCTGGCTTGAATGTTCTCAGCTGCCATGATAGCTTAAAAAACCAGGAAATGCATAATTTGTCTTTCGGTTAATATATATAGTGTAAAATATCATTTAATGTAATTTAAAAGTGAGTGAACAGAAGTTCTGCAGGATTCTTGACTAAAGTTCTAAACAATGGAAAAAATTAAAGTTTTCAGCAGGATGAAAACTCGTTCAAAATTTAGGCTGACTATCCCATCATTGTGAGAAACTTGTATTTTATGGAAGTGCAGTTGTTTTTATAGGTTTTATCCTATTATATTTCATAAATCATAAAAATATTTTTATATTGTATTCTATTTGTACTGTTATAGAAATCCCTTGCTTTGCAGCACAGAAATCTTGGAGTTGGGAGTTGGTGGCCTTTAGTTTTATGGTAAAGGTTTAATGTACAATTGCTCAAGTAATTCTAAGCGGTTTAGACACTACACACCTACTCAGATTAATTTCTGATTTGAAGACTTCCTTTTTTTCCCCCTCTTTTTTAGAGCAGTGAAAAGTAGGTAAATTCTGAGTTATGGGTGATCTTTGAGTATGTAGTTTTATTTGACAGCATCTTGTTTATTAGAAGGATGCAGAGATGGGAATGGCTTATGGGAGCTTCTTAGCAATTAATTAATCATACCGTAGTATGATTCTTAATTTCTTAGTCACTAGGTAATTTTTTCTCTCAGTTACATATATTTATGATCTGAATAATGATGATTCATTGTTATAGTATTTTATCTGTAGTTGGAAAGAGTGCCTAGTTGTTTAAAAAGTTAAATTTTAACTATGACAGAAAATACCCACACCTTTTTGTTTGAAGTACCTTTCTTTGTTTTGTTGGGATATTTTATTATGTAGCATGCATTTAGGGTTCATGTTTCTTTCCTTCCTTTCCCTGAAGGGAGCTTTAGGTCTTGAGCAGGCTTACCTTTCTTATGAACCATAGTTTGACATCTGAAATTAAGTGGGATGAGAATAAGTGCAGGTGTTTTCCTGCCCTAACACAGCATTGCTATCGTTGGAGGAGGATGGCCTATGAAAACAAAAGGGCCCTTTCTTTGTCACAAAAGTGACAAACTAGAAGTGGGTCTTATAGTGAAGAGAACGAGAAAAAGGTATAAAATAATGGGACTTGGGTTGATTGCAATAATAATGATTTTGTTGTGAAATTATTATACATAGAAAAGAGAAGGATGACAAAATTGGGGGGTGCACTCTAAAGGTAAGGAAAGGGTTTGACATGGAAACAAAAACCTTTCATTAGATTGAGTTTATAATATATATAAAATATATATTTAAATCCATTTTTTTTCTTACACAAAATAGCAGATCATTACCTAAATTTCTAGTGAGCCTTTCAAAGATTGCTTAATTTATTTTTTCTTTTCTTTGTTCTAGTTGCATTAAAATCATCTAGCTCTACCAGACCAGAAAGAAATGGCGTCCAGGAAACCTCTAGAACAGGAAAGTGTGGAGAAGGGATGCAGATCCTGGAAGGAGAACTCCTTTTGCAGGTATGTTTTGCAACAGACATATTGTACAAAGATTTAAATAAAAAAACCCAAACACCTATATATAACATACAAGATTCTCAGTGATGAGATAGAAAAGGTTTTCTTATTGTGAAATTCTTTTCTCATTTTCTTTAGGGCAATATTAAACAGCTCTTGGATTTTCTTTGGTATTAGGGACTTTAGAGTGGATGTTAGAATATGGGCTCCTCTTCAATGTTTCTAAGTAATTTATTAGGGGACCCCATCTCTGTATCTGTTTTTAATAAAGATGTTAATATAGAAGAACAGTTTTTTATAAGGACCAGATAAATTTGGTGACTAGTTGTTGTAAAGAAACAATTTCTCCTTCAAACACCTTGGGCTTGCTGGCTGAAATATCTTTTTTTCTCAGTGGTTTGAAAGAACTCAGCATACATGTAAATTCAGGAGAAATTTTAAAATACTTTGGATAACTTTTATATGAACTAATGGAAAATATTAATTGAAGTGTGGGCTTCGTTTTTTTTTTAAATTGTCTAGCCTGTTTTAATGTCCTAGAGTGTCAAAGGATATGGATAAATATATGCTACCAAGTCCAGATTAAACTCAAGAAATTAAAAATATAGGTATTGCAATTTTCTAACTAGTTTCACAAAATAGATTTTATGGAGATGTGCAGCTCCATTTGAAGTGTGTTGGTAGTCTGTCTTCTACACAGGTTGCACTCTGATGTATCTATCAAAAATCATTCAGTCAGAGTCAATTGTTTGCTTAGAACAAAATGAATTTCAGTGTTCAAAGATTAGAAATTAAAATCGGTTCTAAGAATCCCACAAAACAATTATTTGTTGATAATTATAAGTTGATGCTAATTGAAAATTGTTTTCTAACCAACTAAAAAAAATAGGACATGTGTTTTATTTTCTAAACTTAATAAAGTATGACAAAGAACTATTGTGTAGTTGCTGCCAGTGAACAGCTTTCTTTTAAACAGAAAAAAGCCTAAAAAGCAGAAATATATGGTTTATATTCAAAGCATCTAATTAATCTGAAATACAGGAGATTTTTAATTACTTCTGAGTGGAAGTTATATGAGGGAACTTTTTTCCAGTATGAAAATTAAGTGGGAGATATATTTATTGCTGAAAATTCTCTCCGTCTTGGGAAGTAAGTAAATTAACTGCACTTCTTCAATGAATTTGTTTTGTAAATATTTTATATATTGGAAAAAAATTATGAGAATGAATATGCAGATGGAATTTTCCTAGGTTGTGAGAGTCACGAGGTTATAAGTCATGAGTGCGATGAAATTAGGAATTTTCTATAAGATAGTGGGAATCAGTAAGCTGTAAATATTGATAAAGTCCTTCCCTTACACTACTGCTCAGAAGTCTTTTGCATTATGCAGGTGAATAAATTATAACTGATGATGAACGTTTTGCTTTTATTGTCTCCCTACCTTTTTTCGTTTTGCTAAGGTGATATTTGCTTTTATTTGTCAGTTGCTTTTGCTTGCTTGCTAACGAACAGAAAATTGTCTTTACTTTCAAACACAGAGACTGTCTTGCCAATTCAATATATTGTGGAAGCAGAGATCAAATATATAAATGTGCCTTCCTTAAAAGCAAGCTAAATTTCCTTTAAAAATATTTAAAATATTTTAAATTCCTATTTAAAATACAAAATCTATTACAGCCCAAGCAAGTTTATGATAAAAAGTACAAGACAAATGATGACCTCTAAGACATTTTTAAGGCCTAATTCTCAACAGTAATGAACAAATTTGAAATTACCTTTTTTTATTAGGAGCATTGAGAGTAATTTTTAGAGCACAAATATAATTTTCAGTTCTCCAGAATAATAAACTCACTGAAAAATTTCATGACGTGTTTTTGGATAATTATTTTTGGATTGCATTTTGCAAAAATCTCCATCAGAACTCATCTCCCACTTATTGATATATCCAGATATATGCATTTTACAGAATTTGTGGCTTAAATAATGCATATGGCTATCTCAGTAACAATCCTGGTTCGAGATGAGCTGTGTACCAGGGCCAGTGCAAAATGTGATTGAATTCCAGGTACAGAAGGTGTAGGTAACTCTGTATGAAATGGATTAGAATAACCAATTTTAACATTTGAGACAAAGTTAGAGGCTCTGCAGCTTGCAGATTTTTTATGTCAACCAGCTGAGGTGAAATGCCCTGCAGAACAGGTCAGCAGAGGACACGAGCACCTGCCACTGCGGCATCCTGCTCCCATGAAATTACTGCAAGCTTCATTAAAACCAAAGGTTCTGTGTAAGATTTCTTGGATTGACTATGCTATTAAAATTCAGATTATTATTTATTTTTTTAGCTCATTCTTTATTCACATAAAATTTACTAAACTTATAAGGGTCTTTTATAGAGCTAACAGCTGTTTATGAGAGTAGATTAAATAATATCTACTTATTAAATTGGAGTGGTTCACAGCATTTAAAGAGCAGCCATTTAATCAGATATTTCATTTATGTATTAGTACTTTGTTGCAGCAAGATATAGGATATCCTTCACTTACTTTACATTTTCTGTGTATAATAATTCTGCATCAATAAAAAGATTTTTTAAAAAAAGTGTTTTGAGTATGCTGGCCAAATTTGCCTTTGAATGCAGCTGAGGAAATTAAGTGGTACAATATACTCAGTCCAGCCCCTGGAGACTGCCTTTTGTTAAATCTTGACTGAAATCCATACAAGTAAATCGGCACCTTTCAGATGAGCTGCCAAGTCACAAATGTACTGTTTGCTATCACAACAATTGCCATGGACCATATTGATTGGGAGCTCAGATAAATGCCCTTTGCGTGACTTTGAGTGTGGAGCCGCCTGGTCTGCTGCTCCACGGAGGGGGAAATCTCTTCAAAAACATTGTTTACTTGCAACAGTCCACTTTTGCAGAGGTTTTCTATTTTAAGTAAACTAGAAAATGTTTTCTTGGACTTTATAGGGGATCTTAATAGCTTGATTTCCTGTCCACAGTGGCCTGACTGCACTATGTATAGACTGGATTTTGGGACTGGGTTTGTGACACGGCTGTCATTTGTGCTGTGGGCAGCTGGGGATACCCAAGGCTTGAGCCAAACAAGCATTGTGAACTGTGGTTAATATTAAATAAACTTACAGTTCTTCATACTACTTTCCCTCATCTTGTACAATCAAGAGCTTTTAAAAATCATCAACACAGTTTGTCTTCTCCACTGAATAAAAAAACAAAGTTTGTTTGCTTTTGTTAGATCCAGTTTTCTTCATTTTAACACATATGCTGCAGAGAGACGCAATGAAGAATCCTTCTGTTTGTGCTGTTAGATAATGGTGTGCTTCTCCATGCTTCACATTTTATTGGTGGACTACAGTATAGGTAGACCTAGAGCAACAATAATTATGTGAAATTCTATCTCTGGAGCTGACAGATTGCTGTGTTTCTTCCCCAGGCATTAAATGGATTTGTGTTAGTTGTTACAGCAGATGCTCTGGTTTTTTACGTCTCTTCTACTATCCAAGACTACTTGGGATTCCAACAAGTAAGTTTGTTTATTCAATTTTTTTCAGAAGTTTTGCCTAATTTCAGGGAATGTCAGTGTTCATATTTAGGGTCTTACATTTTTTTTTGTAATAAAAATCTGAGGTACTTTAGGTTGAATTACTTTGAAACCATATTGCTTTTCTACCAGCTTTCATAGCCAGGATGTCAGGCCAAGCACAACACGAATATAATTTCCAAAGTTGAGTTAGGCAAGATAGGAAATTTTCACACTTAATTATTCTTTACTGGAATGTTTGAAATTTATACTGTGGTGTTACCCAGTTTATGATGCTGAGTGAGGCATAATTCAATGGGAAGGTAATTATTTTAATAGAAACCTTTCATGAAAAACTATTTCCATATGCCTTGAGATTTATAAGTATCAAGTGATTGATTTTGGTATTTTTAGAATTTGTTCTCTTGCTCATGTGTATTTATTTAATTACGAATTTCAAAACAAGCATTTGTTTTTTACTGTTTATGGTGCAGATCACACATGTCTGACTTCACTGGGCTTGAAAACCAGGTGCCAAAGTAATAAAGGCTGAGGCATAGCAGGCAAATTCTGTCTTTGTTAAAAACTCCTGGGATTACTTTATGTGAAGATGATAGAATGAAGATGATAGTTATAGTTCTCAATGTATATCCATGGATACTGCATACTGATAGATTCAGCTGCTGTCTGAAAAATAGTGAAAAACCTTGCTTGGTTTGCAGTTTCAGGTAACTGATAAGAAATTGGGGAACATTTGTGTAAAAGAAAATATTTCAAAAAGCCCCCACTGTTATTCCTGGGGTTACATATTCCTTCAGTGTTCGGGAATGAAAAAAGAAAAAAGTTTGGGAAACAAATTTGGCATAACATTCATGAAGTAATGCCAGTAAATCGAGTGCATGGTATAGAAGTAAAGTTTTAAAGTTACAAAAATTAGCATTTCTGGCAATTTATTCTGGAAAATACTGATTGTTTTATGATATTCATCAGAGCAAAATTTGACGCAGAACTCAATTGCATTAGATCTAACTTTTATTTAAATATTTTTTGTTAATATAATGGTTGAGTTTTTGAAACATGCTGAAAACGGGGATCTTAACTCTTCTCAGTCAGCTGAGTCTTGTCTTTAATATTTTAAGTGGTTTTTTTCCTCCTTAAATTCCTCTAAGCACTGATCCTTGCTCTTGACCCTTTGCCATTTAGATCACATTCCAAACCACAGAATTGGTAGTGGAATAAGGGCTTCATAATGACATGTTTTAGCACATCCTTAAGTGACAACGCTTTCAGGCAAGCAAATCCACTGTTTATAATCTGCTTGATTTGTTTTTGGCAGTTTGGTTCAGGGTCTTTAGCTTCTTTTGTATTCCTGTAGCACCTATAGTAGGACAAGTACTAGCTGGAAAGTACTTTATTTACCAGTATATAAAACTAAATAATTTAAACAGTACCTAAGCATGGTATTTCCAGGCCTTCTTAGGTAAAAGCAGGTAAAGAAAGAGTTGACATAATGTAACCTTTTTTTCTAAGGCAATATTTTTGTTGTTTCCCATGTTTACAGTCGTATGTGTAACTGAGCTGTTCTCCCTGCTGCTAAAAATCATTTCATGAAGCTTTCCCACCTGCACGTGATTGCATTGTCTATCCCTGAGCAAAATGGATTTTGCTGTATCCATAACATCTTTGTCAATCAGACAACTTGTATCACATTGTCATGTAATTTTCTTATTGTTGTTCTTTCTCACCTTCCTCCTTTTGTTCCTAGTCGGATATTATACACCAGAGTGTATTTGAATTGATTCACACAGAAGACAGACCTGAGTTTCAACGACAGCTACATTGGGCATTAAATCCTGCCCAGTCAGATGATTCTGGACCAAGTGTACAAGGTGAAAACAGAATTTACTGTTTGCCTATTGGATTTTTTTGTTGGTTTTTTTTGTTTTGTTTGTTTTGTTTTTTGGACTTTTAAAATTTTTCTATGTAAAAAAAATGAGATAATTTTAGATGAATAAAGGAATAAATACTGTCTTTCAAATTGACTTGAATTTTATGGACATATTTAGCCAACAGTGAGAATTACTATTTTTTGCACTTTAAATAAGCGCTTTTATTCATAGCACAGCACCATTAAAATACTAATTATACTTTAAATTGGAAGACTTTAATTTGGAGTCTAAGTGACAATGTTTCTTAGACTGATCAGTCTAAGAATGTGCTTGTTTTAGTGTTACTATAGGGAATAGTGCATTCATTGCCACATAGACTGGTACTTCTCTTGGAGATAAAAGGGAAAGAGAAATAAAAGATTAAATAGATGAGCCTTTAAGATCAAGTAGTATGCATGCTAGAGCAGAGTTGTCACATGTTACTGGCTGATGCTTAAGTGAGCTGTTATATTGAGAAACAACTGAGGAGAATCACACTGCACATGTATAAGAGCAAAGATGTGTGGGTGCAGGTAGCTGTGTGTCATACAGGAAACATGTGCCTGCATCATACTGACAACAAAGCCATTGAGACAACTGCTCCATTTTAATGCTCCCTTTGCACAACAGTTGTTTAAACACGTACGTAAAATCTTCTGTTACTGTGACTTGATTATAGGGAATTTATTAATCATAAAAAGTCCATTGTTTTTAATAAACTTTAAAGTAACTTAATTTTTTTAAAAAATAGAGTATGGAAATGCCGTGATTTGATAGAGAAAATTTACTGTGTTTGTAACACACTTCAGTATATTTGAGTTTTCCATTTAGCGTCAACATTATATCATCTCTAGATCAATCTCCACAGGCCTGCTGCACAGCTAGTTAATAACAGAGGTCAGTACAGCAAAGAGTATGGTTCTCACAAACAAGGTTTTCATCCTGTTTGCTTTAGAGTGAAGTTGTGTCCTATGGAACTTAAGCAAGTGCATATGAATTTAGAAAAGGTTGTTTGAAAAGTATGACACTAGGTTGGATTGGCCTCAGATTTAACTGAATGACAGGAAGAACTGAGCAGGATTACAAACAATTCTTTGTTTTGTAGCTTGTGTTTCTGTCTTGCAAAACCTGCTAATTGTGCCCCATTCCTGAAAGCATTCAGGGATGCTAGGTGGATGGGACTTTCAGGAACGTGGTCTAGTGAAATGTCCCTGTCCACGGCAGGGGGGTTGCAATTAGGTGATCTCAAAGGTCCCTTCTATCCTAAACCATTCTATGATCCAATGATGTCTTTTGAGCCTCAAGTAGCATCAATTGTTTGGATGTTGAGGATTTTTGAACTGAATTCAGATATATAGCAAAGGATAATGCTATGACTGTAAGGATCCCCTCCATTTTTGCTAATTTAATCCATTCATGTTTTAATACATTCAGCTATCATTATGCAGATATTTATAGATATACTATAATTTTGCTCAGGCACAGATTCCATCCTGGGTCTGGGAACTGATTCTGCTTCAGTTAGCCTGGACTGGTTATTTCTCACTCAGTACTCTGGTATGCTGCTAAAACCACTGGTTTCCTCAGCTGTTACTGTGCTTCCCAGACATGCCTCCTGGTCCTTGTCTTGTTCCCAGAGAAGTTTGCAAAATTCTGATTTTTCAGTCCCAAATATCTGCTTTGGGGCACTAAGTCTGGATTATCTTTTGAACTTCGCATGTTGCACAACCATATGGTCTTGAGTTTAAAGACAAGCAATTAATACACTGCATGCTCATTGCTCCATGGTATTGATGAGATCCAGTGTGATCTTTGTGAGGGATATGGACTCTGACTCCTGGAGTGTTAACTGCTAGTTTTGCTCTAGGGATTGTAGATGCTCTGTAAGAGTCTTTGCCTTCTTACAGTGAGTCACTTCAAGATCCTGGCAGTAAAACCTCTCTGCCTTCTGTCTGCCTGGAAAAGTACAGCAGTGTTGCTTTCACAAGTGTAGGAGGCTCAGTTTGGAAGCCCATTACCTCCTGTTTTGAGTTCTGTTCCCCTCCTGTCGGGAGCCACTTCTTTCACCACAGCTTTGCTCGCTCTTGGGAGCTGCATTTTACTATGAAACTTGACAAACTCCACAGGATCCATCTGGACTTGCTGAACCTTCAAATTTCAGCTCTGTAGTTACCAAAAGAATAACACTGAGTTTCTCCTGTGCCAGAAATGCTGAAGGACACATCTACCAGTGCCAAGGATGTCAGCAGAAACCCTGGCACTGCTTATTGGGTACTAGATCTGCACCCAGTCAGAGTTGGCATTTTTGAAATATTATTTAGGATTTGCAAGCTGTTTCTTTGATGTTCTTTCTTCATAATAATTGCTTCTTCAGAGAGCTTCTTTGAGAAGCACCATCTCAGAAGTGTTGAAAAATCTCACTTAATCACTAAAATACCATCAATTAAGCAATTTATAATAAAAAAAATCTGCAGCAGTAGCAAGTGAGGAAGTTTGCTTTGTCTGTTGAGAACTAATTTCAGATTATCCCTTTTTGTCACACTATTAGCTAGGACAGAAAAAGGTTTCTTTTTCTCCACACCTTGAATTTTGTTCAGAAAAAATTGACCTTGCATAGCAGTTTTTTTAGGGAAAAAAGATATCTCCTGATTTTATCTGAAAAGCTGGATAACTCAGCATGCTTGTAGGATTTGGCTAGCCTTAGGTTGCAAGGCATTTTGGTAAGACATCAACAATCTCATTTAGCTCCAATTCAGTCCCTTGTATTCATAGGAGATTAAATTGGACTGGCTTTTGATAATGATTTGTTTACCTTTGTGTTTGTTTTGCCAGTGTTCTAACCTCTGAGCCTATCTGTAAGTTTTTCCAGCTGTTCATGAGACAAAATTATATTTGAGAAAATATGATGTGTGTTAAGTGACATGCTCTCCCTGAGCTGATCTCCATGTCTGGAAGGTCAATATGGGTTCTTAAAATCTGTGTTATTATTTTGTCCATAGTTGATAATAGGCTCTCTAAGAGTACATGGACTTTTTTTTAAATTAAAGGGTATTTATAATAAAATGTCTTTCTAAGCTGGATATTTCTCAATTTTCGGCATGTATGAATTCCTAGAGAATGACTGTTTTTTAATCTGTATTGCATACAAGATTGCTGTGCTAAATTTGCTGTGAGTAGTAATTATCTGGTATCTCTGTATATGTAATCTCATGTAGAACATATGTATTCTATCAGAAGTTTATTGATTTACCTTCTGGTTTTACTTTCCAAATGTTTAAGTCTGTTTTGTAAATACCACTTAGCAGCAAATGCTTGTCCTGACAAGGTGGAAGGATACCATGTTATTATTCTAGTTAACAATCATGGGTTTGAGTTTTTTTCAAAACAAACAACCCTCCAAACACAAGTACTCCAGGTATACCTGGAGAGGTAACTATGGTGTTTTGATTGGCAGAGCCCAGAAATATTTTCACTATTTAGTAGGGTGATTTTGCCATCTTTGGAGAAAAATGCTGATTTTTTGTGGTTGTTTCCTAAAGTTGCTGATTTTTATTTATTGCTTTCATCTGACTGTCTGGAAAGTAAGTTTCACAGTTTGATATCATTACTGTGTTTTTAAATACTCAGTTCCTGTAGTTGATTTGACTTTTTTGTCGTTGTAGGAGCATGAGTGTGTTCTCTGCTGAGAACTCTGCTCTTTGCAACTGGTCCAGAGTCTAGGCTGTTGACAAACATAATGAATAAATTAAAAACCCAAACAAACAAAAGCCCCAAAGGAAAAAAAAAGCACTTAAAAATAAATTACATTCAGTTTTCAAATACCATTGCCTGTAAAACATAATCCCATCAGAAGAATTGATGCTTAACCTCAGTATTACAATCATTATATGTTCTGAGGATGTTTCTAGTTTACATTGTTCTTGCTCAGGTCATGACCTATCACTTTGTTTATGAGACGGAAGATCTTTGTTATAGATAGCCTTCACTAGGTGTTCTTCTAAAAATAATTCATATAAATAATCCTTTCCTGCAGGAGATAATGGCTTTTCACAGCCAGCAACCTATTATAACCCAGACCAACTTCCTCCGGAGAATTCTTCCTTTATGGAAAGGAATTTCATCTGCAGGTTACGATGTCTCCTGGATAATTCATCTGGATTCCTGGTGAGTGTGGAGTTACATAAATCTTCCAGATATGCTTAAAAGTTGGAAATCTGCATTATCTTAACAAGAGGTGCAGCAACTTAATCTATTTTTTAAGTCTCTAAAGATATCTCAGCTGCTTGAACCACAAAGTTCCAGTTAGTGACACTGAATGTGTCCCCCTTAAGATGTTGTCACAACCTGGTGCAAGTTCTCTCATTTCTCATGGCCCAGATGCCTTAGTGAAATGTAAATAAGCAACTGCTTTTGTAAAGTGCTGTGTGATTTGTAGGTCAAAAAGCATTACAAGAGTATTTTCTTGTATCAAGTTGAGTATCTTGAGGTGCAATAAGTTATAGTAATTAAGAGTATCATTGTTTTTACTTTTTGGAAAAGTTTGTGCTTGCCCTTTTTAATGCATGTTTTGTTAGTCAATTATTTTGATTTTAAAACAAGTATGGGTTTATCACCCTCTTTGTGATATCTTACAAAGTAGAATTCGTTAAAATTGCAAAACTGAACATACAAATTTGCAAGAGAAATAATGATGTAATTATATGCATGTATGTTCATTAGAATATTAGAAGCCGCAACTGATATTTGATACTATGTGTTTGTTTTTTTTTGTTGTTTTTTTTTTTAACAGACTAATCTTCCCATTAATTAATTTTTCAGTAAGTAGATATTGAAGTGACACATTCAGGGGTATAACAACAGTGTTCTGTACCTGTTAGCTAACTTTTATGTATGCCATCCTGTAAAGCTTGAGTCTCATGGATCTTCAGAAGAATGAAAAATACATGTTTTACATCATAACAAAAATATCTTCCTTTTAAATATCTCCAGCATATAACAATTACTTTTTTCCTCATCCTAAGGCTATGAATTTTCAAGGACGATTGAAGTTTCTCCACGGACAAAACAAGAAAGGGAAGGATGGTGCTGCTTTGTCTCCTCAGCTTGCACTGTTTGCAGTAGCTACTCCCCTGCAGCCACCATCTATCCTTGAGATACGGACCAAGAACTTCATCTTCAGAACTAAACACAAGCTGGATTTCACACCTACTGGCTGTGATGCAAAGTAGGTGTAAATTATTCTGTGTAATTGTCTAACGCTGATGAAATAGGTTTCAAGTATGTATTTGAAATATAAAGCAGGCTACTCTTGGTATGTAAACTGTTTCAGTGATGGTTGTTAGAAGCTGTTAAGGTTTTTCTCTCCAGACCTGCTATCAAGCAAAGAGAAATGGATTTGCCACAGTCTATTTCCTTGAAATGGCATACTGCTCTCTGACTCTCAGTTAGAAAAACAAAGCAAAAACCCACAAAACCAATGCAAAATAGAAAAAACAAAAGACAGCATACTAATGTATTAGGGAAGAAGAAAAGTTTCATGTTAAATCTGGTTTGAAATTTGGTTTTAGAACTGATAGAACAAGTGTTTAATTCCATTCTACATTTCTCCTTCAGTTCAAATAGGTGTAAAATACAATGGAAATTTATTTTCTTAAAAATAAATTAAATACTTTTTTATACTATGACTTTTACCCATTTTCAAACCCATTTCCAAATTATTTTCCCTATGTAAAATTTGGAAACACTACTGCAGTACTAGATCAAAGTAATATTACTATGCTTCAACATGGCAAGAAGCCCATTAGGATGCGTTTTTATCAAAATAAAAATTTCTGGCCTCCCTGCTTCTCCTCTCCCTCCTATTTTTGACTGACAATGCTTTCATTTTCATTCAAGTCTCTCATATAGGTTTCTATTCCTGCTTACAGATTAGAATTGAGTTACTTGGTATTTTGTCTACTGAGAGACCAAAATGGTTTATTTCTCTAAGTTGATATAAGTAAAAATTTACAAAATGTTAACACAAGTGTTTCTTTCCTCTTTTATATATTTTTATTCACTTGAAACGTTCAGTTTTTGTCATATTTTACAGTTTTATGTATATTGTTCCCCATCCCTTCTTTCCCTCTTTTTTGTTCCTTTAGTCTTTGAATTTCCATTTCTTTGTTTCAAATCCTGTTTAGTTCTCTTTTTGACTATGTTGTTTTATCATATATTGCATAGAGATCACATGAATTGTGTTAAGTGTTTCATCTCCCCAGCCCCTAGTAAAGTACTCTAATTTTAGCTGCCAGGGTCAAACATGACTCCTGCTAGTGGTCCTCTGAGTCATATCTCGTTTAAATGCAAACACAGGGGTCCCAAACCACTCAAAAGGGATGTAGTTCTGAGCTACATCTGCGTTCAAACTTTAAGCTAGTAAAAATTCTAATTTAGGTAAGAAGTTTTAGATCACTGAATTTAAACCCCTACTTAACTCTACACACAAGCACCTAAGAAACAGGGCTAAGAAAACTGTGTCTTTCTTTGGAACTAATGGGAGCCGCCTGCTAGGAGTGCATATATTGAGTAGTATGGAATTGAGAGTCCAGCTGTAGGCATCCACTTTTCTTTTATGATCTAATGGTTTTGTGAACCCAGTCCTAATCACTGAAGGGAACCTGGCAGACTAGTTAAAATTTTATGACTTGTTGACTATTTTTTATTAGTTGATCTGCTTCCACATACAATTGATATAGCAACAAAACATAGTTAGCACTTGCATCTGAAATGTTCTAGCCATAATGAACTTGCTTGACATTCATTCTGTGAGTTGGTTCACCAGCAGGGTTGCAATTTTTTGGTTTTACCTTCCAGAGGAAAGATTGTCCTGGGATACACCGAAGCAGAGCTGTGTATGAGAGGAACAGGATACCAGTTTATTCATGCAGCTGATATGCTTTATTGTGCTGAAAACCACATACGAAGTAAGTTTCATTCCCTAAGAAAGGTTGAAAAATCAAAGCATGGAGTATTTTTTCAATATGAATGCAATGTGAACTATAGAAAAAAAGGAGGTTGTTAACAAAAAGAACACCCATTCATATTCATTTCATATGTTCTGTCTGTCCTTCAAAAACTTACACTGGTTGAAGAAATGTTTAATATTCCTATTTAAACACTTTTAGGATGAATAGTCCAGTCTCTGTCACATCTTGCTCTTATCGCTTCCTTCTCTGCTCAACCTAACTTCTGCTATGTCAACAGCTTTCTTTGGGCAAGGGGTCTATCAAAGATAGCTTTCCTGTTAGCAAGTTAAATAAAGCATTTTCTTTTGATATTGGTGTAAGATTTTTACCAGAAATTAATCTCTGATTTAGCATGCTGGCATCCAAACATTTCTGGGTTTGATTCTTGGCAGCTTGAGTTAGTTTAAGTAACAATTATGGAGAGAAATTTCAGAATATTATGGTACTTCCTTTCTAATGACTTCTCTTAAAAAAGTTATTTGGGTTTTTTTCTTTTATCCCCTCATAGACAATTGGATAATGCCTCTCATAAGGTTATTCTCAACCTATTTAAGCATATTTTCTGTTTCAGGTGTAGCTCAGTCACTGTTGCTTATCAGTGGATTTGTTTCTTTTATAAAGAAAAACAAAGAATGGTTCCAGAGTAGATTAAGATAAAGAAAAGAAGTTTTGTAGCAAAGATTTTTGGTTAGATTCTTAGAATTTCCTAATACATTTTATTTATTTTTTTTGTCTAGAAATGCAGGGATTTTGAGCAATTGTATTCCTCCCACCCCTCACCTCTGTGAATCGCATATTTAAGAATTATCTTTAAAATCCACATTCATCACACAACCTTCACTTAGAACAACAAAACCAGCCAGAAATAAACTAAAGCTCCCCACACAAAAACCAAGATAACTTTTTCACAACACAAAACAAAATTTGACAGTTTACATAAAATCCACTGGCTGTCCCTTCACCACAATTACAACAAAACTTGCCCATGATAGGTCTACTCTCTAACATTGTTCAGCACTCATTTTGCCTGTTACCTCTACTAGTTACTATCCTTATCTCAAAATCCTCACAATCCTGGGTTTTGGCACCAAAATGACTGCAGTGGGTTCACCCTGGCTGCATTGTAGGTACCCACCAAAGCCTCTCACCAGGCACCCACCAAAGCCTCTCTATCTCTGCCCTCCACAACTGGACAAGGGAGAAAAAATATACTGAAGGGTTCATGCATTGAGATAAGGACCAGGAGAGATCAATCACCAAATACTGTCACAGGCAAAACAGACTTCATCTGGGCATATTAATTGAATTGATTACTAATAAAACCAAAGCAGGATAATGAGAAGTAAAATAAGGCCTTAAAAACACCTTCCATGAGAAAACCTGCTCTAGCATGGGCTCCTCTCTCCATGGGTCTGCAAGGGTCTGCCAGGAGCCTGTTCCAGCACTGGCCTCCCATGGGTTCACAGCCTCCTCTAAGGCATGCACCTGCTCCAGCATGGGTCTCCTCCATGGACTGCAAGTGGATCTCTGCATCCCCGTGGTTCTGCTTGGGCAGATCCATTCACCATGGTCTGCACCACAGGCTGCAGGGGAATCTCAGCTCTGGCACCTCCTGCCCTTCCTTCCTCACTGACCTTGGTGTCTGCAGTGTTGTTCCTCTCACATATTCTCAACTCACTCTTGCCACAATTATATCTGCACAATAATTATTTTTTTTCCCTTAAATGTTATGACAGAGGCATTACCATGATTTCTAGTTGTCCCAGTCTTGCCCAGCAGCATGTCCACCTTGGAGATGCCAGGGATTTGTTCTACTGGAAAGGGAGGAAGCTTCTAGCAGCTTCTCACAGAAGCCACCCCTGTAGCCCTCCCTGCCATTACCAAAACCTAGCCATACAAACCCAGTACAGAAATATACCATAAAAAATTGAGTATGTTTATCAAGCATTGTTGGTGGTAGTTGGAATGAAAAGTAAGATTTTTAAGTATCTCTGCATAAACCAGTCAAAATATGAAAGAATTGGATTCAGAACTAATGTGTTTCTAATTGTTAAAATGATAGTCACTTTTTGAAGATAAGAGAGACTTGGGCTTTTGTCATTTACATATTCTAGTATTTATTAATTTCTGTTACTGAAGAAATAATGGACAAAGCCCCATATAGAATGCTGTCAATCTATAGCAGATGTCTTGCAGTTTTGACTTCTATAAATTAGAGTAAATTAGACATCTTGAAGTGATCAGTCATCCTGATGCACTGGGAATGCATTAGTGCCACATTGAATTGGGTAATTGAGGACATAAGATTTGTAAAATTTCTCTACAAAAGGGATTCCTTTCATAGCATACAGATTTTCATGATTTTGTTTGCTGGACAGTAAACAGTATGCTTATTCTTTAGTGATGAAGACAGGTGAGAGTGGAATGACTGTATTTAGGCTTCTAACCAAAGAAAATCGATGGGCCTGGGTACAGGCAAATGCACGTCTTGTCTACAAAAATGGAAGACCAGATTACATCATTGCCACACAGAGACCTCTTACGTAAGTCATCATTTCATAAAGTAGCATGCTTCAAAAACTGAAAACTAGCCTGAAGGTGTTTATATTCACAAAGGAATTTCTGTTTTTAAAGTATTACTCTTTATATTCCAGATTCCCAAAAGTCTTTCAGTTTGCTAACAAACATGTAAAGAATTCTGGTATTTCAGAACTTGTGGCATAGTCCTTTTGTATAAAACTTTAGATGTATTGATTTCTTAGAAAGAACAAGATCAGCAGCAGAAGCATGAAGTTATTCCATCCACTGTATGCAGTCCCAGTGAGCAAAATCTGAAAAATCCAACTGCAGTTGTGTAGAAGGAATAACAAAGAAATTCAGTCCTGAATATTAGTGCTGAACTAAGTTCTGCATAATATGGAATTCAGCCTTGTTAAATACCTTAAGTAATTTTTGCTAAGGACTCTGTAAAATGGAGAAAAAGAGATACTTCAAATATTGATTTACTTGCTATAGCAAGAAAAGCTTAATGCATGGAACAAAGCCCACTTATTTTCATTTCAGTCCATAATGCACAGAAAATAGTGTATGCTATCTAGATTTAATTACAAATGTAATATGTAAATGTGGCATTACAGTCATAAGCTCCTTATTTCATAATCTGCCTCTTGGTTTAACTCAGCCAAGTCGAGCTGGAATAGGTAGGAATTCGAAAAATGCCTACAAATAGAAGAGTTTATTTTTTATGTTACTTCCAGGGGACAAAAAGATTAGAGTAACTGTTTAGTAGTGCAGTACCATGCTATATATCTGATTTATTTTCAGAGATGAAGAAGGGGCAGAACATCTACGGAAACGTAACATGAAGTTGCCCTTCATGTTTGCCACTGGTGAGGCTGTGTTGTATGAGGTGTCTTTCCCTATGTCGAGCCTTATGGACCCCTCTCAACCGAAGAGTAAAAGCACAGTGGGAAAAGGAGCCAAAGCAACGCTACACGATGATTCTGTGGATCCAAACTCCCTCCTAGGTGTCATGTTAAGGCAAGATGAGTCTGTTTATCTCTGCCCTCCAGCATCACACAAACTTTCTTTTGAGCGGAACTTCTTTGCAGACAGTAGGGATGAACTGGGTGGTGTTGTTAGCAGTGGCTGGACAGACAATCTCCTGCCTGCTGGAAATCACAGCATTCTCAAACGGGAGCTGATGGAGTGTTCCCAGGACAGTGTTCCACTCCCTGAAGACAGTGCAGCACTCTTTCAGGATAACAAAACCAGTGACCTGTACAGCATCATGAAAAATCTGGGTATTGACTTTGAAGATCTAAAGTGTATTCAGCAGGATGAGGAGTTTTTTAAAACTGAATTATCCGATGTGGATGATATTGGGGACATCAACATAACTGATGAAATCCTGACTTATGTTCAGGATTCCTTAAATAAATCTGACTTCTTATATTCAGACTGTAACCAGCAGCAGCCCTTGGTCCAGAATGAAGGTTGCATGGTACAGCAGGACTTAGATCCACATCAACTTCATCAGCACCAGAAACAGCTTGTGGAACAGCAACAGCAGCAGCAGCAGCAACAGCAGCTCTGTCAAAAGATGAAACATATGCAAGTCAACGGGATGTTCACAAACTGGAGCTCTGGCATGCCTCTTAGCTGCTCACAGCAGCAGCCCCAGCAATACATGTTCCCTGGCATGCATGCCAGCACATCTGAGTTCTCTTACAAATCAGAAGTTAACGCTTCCCCTTATGAGTGTAGGCAAGACTTTGTTCCTTACAAGCAACCCACAGCGATGATGCCACAGCTTTCTAATTTTACCCAAATGGATTTTCCTGCAGCGGGTTTTGATGGATCGACCTATTCTGCTTCTTCCAACTTCGAGGATTTTCTCAGCTGTTTGCAGCAAGTCCCTGAGAACCTTGAGTGTGGGATAAACTCTGAGTCAGTTCTGCTCACTCCTCAAACTTGCTATGCAGGCGCTGTTTCTATGTACCCGTGCACACAGGAGGCACAGCCCAGCTGCGTGGATCAAATGCAGTATGATCCCATGATGACGAATCAACAACAACAAACATTGGGCAACAAGGTATGGTAAACAGCACTGCTGCACTGCTTGCATTTTGAATCTAGTTTATATTGTTTTGGGTGACTGCTGTGGGGCAGAGTTTGTCATGAATGAATTGCTGAGTTTGAGATGGATGGGTTAACAGTGTGTGGATGTCTTTGTTTTATTTGTTCATTAGAGTGAAAAGAGTTGGACTTGATCAAGTTTACATGTACTGTACCTGCAGTCTGATAGCTCTCTTTGGCAGTCTTAATCTAGACTGAATGAAGTAGTCTGTGGTACTATATCAGAAATTTTCCTAATAGGAGCAGAAGAAAAGTAGATTGGTCTAAGTCTTGGAATTTGCTAATAGACCCTTCAGAGAGAAGTTGAGTGTGCTTGGCACACTCATTTTCATTAAATATGTTGTAAGGATAAAAAAAAAAAGTTTTTGAAGTGTGAGTATTGTCTAGCTACTCAGATTCCTCAATGATTTTAGGATTAGTTGTTACTGATAAAAAAAAAAAGTTATATATTGCTATAAGTGAAAGACAGCTTGTTGCTCAAGCTGCTGTCTAAATTAATTGCTGAAGAAAAAAGGATTGGAAAAAGTTATAATCACAGTAAGCTAAGCTGGTCCTTTTTCACCAAGGGGAGTGCTCAATAAATGCCATAGAAGAGATGATCCTGGCTGTAGCACAGACTGCAGTTGTAAACACTGTTCTTCATTGGTAAAATCAACTTAGAAATAAAATTCAATTACTAGTTCCTGATTCTGAATAACCTTTGTTGAAGTACTTTCTGTTGTATCTTTTATTTCTGTTAACGCTGCTAAAGTACAGAGCCACAGTTTTTTTGTTTTGTTTTATCTCAATGAGTTAATGTTCTGAAGTACTGATCCTGCAAATGCTTATGCACATGCATAAGCATTTGCAGAATTAAAGTATTAATTGGCATTTAACCTATGCAAGACAAAGGTAAGGAATGCAATTAGAGCATGTCCATTTTTCACATGCTTAATACAAGTACGAAACATTCCCTTTTTAAAACTGCTTCACTGCTGAAAAGAGTGCAATTGCAGAATTGTAGAAATTTAGCTAAAATATAGCACAGTTCAGCAAGATGAATGGCTTCTCCCTGAGTGCCCAGGGTTGAAATTGCATGAAGTGACTGAGAAACTGCACTGTGCAAACCTGAGCATGGCTTGGCTGTGCCTTGCCTGGCTGTGCTCAGTGCTCAGTCTTTCAGAGTGCTTCTTAATAGGGTGGCAGAGCAGCTCCAGGGCCATCCAAGTTTGTCTTTATAATAACAAAGAATTACTCTTTTCACAAAAGCTGTACTAATGTGATGCATCAGTTTTGAACAGCCATTGCATTTGCAACTCCATTTCTTTATTTTTAATGGCTAGTTTCAATTGCATTTATTTTGCAGATTATTTTGTTGTTACACCTCCTTAAACATTTTTGTTATGACCCTTATTTTTTATTTTTTTTTCTTGCATTTTCTTCACCTCTGTTTATAAAAAACTTAATGACCAAGACAGCACCTCTGAAAAAATTTTGTCTATTGCTTCATATTTACTACAAGGCTGAGCTGCAATAATAATTAGACAGTTTGTTGTTGTAAAAAAAATGAACAAAGGATACTTTGTGAAAAATTGTCCTTACTTAATTTGTTCAGAGGCAAATTCAGCCCCTCTTGTTAGGGTGTTCCTGTGCTGCATGGGGCTAAGTAGCACTGCATAAGCAGAAGCCTCATGTGACTAAGCAGATAAGTTAGTGCTGTCTGAGCCCACATTCACACAGCCAAACCAAAGTAGGGCAGTCTTGGTGGCTGGGTTTAGCACACTGACATCCCTGACAGTGGTTAGAGTCCAGAGACAGGACAGATGTGGCTATACAAGCCATGACTGGTATCTTTTCAGACTTCCAACTCTCATTGATTTCTATGTGAAAAGACCTACATAATTAGAAAGTCAGAAGGGTCTATTGTGGTCACATGCCTTGACTTTCTGCCTATCTTGTAATTGTGGTAGGAGCATAGCCAGTGTAGTCTAAAATCACTTTCAGTGATGGAGAAGGACAGAAAGGCTTGTGAACTTCTAGCTGCTTGTTTAGGATCAGTATTCCTTTATTAAGCAGGAGAAACCTTCCTAAGTACTTGATTCTATGTTGAGAGTGTTCTTGAAAAAATTAATGTGTGGTCATCTTATTAATGAAGAATATTGAAATAACCTACTTCTGTAAGAAATAATCCTTGTGTCTGCTCTTAAAAGTGTGCCAGGTTTGATTAAAAACATAATTCACATGGTTTTGTTGTTAAAAAGTTAGAAGAATTGTGCACATTTAGTCAAATTTCAATGTTTGCATAAATGGAAAAAAGAAAAACTAATACACAGCATAATTTGATAGATGAATGGATGAATGAATGTATAAGACATGTTCTTAAAGACAAACCTTGAAGAATGAGTACTTAGGATATAAGCTACTCCTAAAGAGATGATGGAAATGTTTAAAATACTTTATTGCATTTTCTTTGCATGACTGAATGGAGTATTTTGTAGATAAAGTCCATAGCATGACAGGAAGCATTACATTAGGTGATTAAAATAATCCTATGAACAATTATGTTAAGACTGATGAAAGCCATTCATTGCTTTTACTTGGCATTGTCAATATAAGGACTGCTACAAAGCCCACCCTGCAACATTTCAGCCAGTGGATTGCATACAGTATGCTTCAGCTTATGGATAGGACTGCTTGTGCATTCCTGGAGGAGCTGTTATGTCTGGATCCCACTGCAGACATGGAAAGATGTAAATAGGTTGCTTTTAAAATGTAACAGCTGGATGTGGCAAACATGCGTTCTCAGACTGTACTTTCTAGAAATGGGAACTCTATTGCATTTTAGATAACAGAATTATTTCTTTACTTAACCAGAAGTAGGGCTCCCATTGACTTCAATATGGGTAAGATTTAGTGATGATTCAGTCCCTATTTTAAAGCAAATTAAATTCTCATTAATCATAATTTAAAAACCCATTAAAGCTAATGGATTTTAAGATTTTTAAGTATTTTAAGATTATTTCATCCAATGTGTCTTTAGGAGGATTTTTAAATACTTATAAATTAATTGGTTTCCTATACTAACCATTTATATTCTCTTTCTTTCCTGCCAGTTCCAAAATGGTTTCAATGGAGGAAATGTAAATGAATCATATCCCTCTCAGTTAGATGTGATCAGTAATGCACAGACTGCCACACATCTTCAGCCTCTTCATCATCCAAAAGAACCCAGATCCTTCTCAGATTTGGCATCTAGTGGATTTATGTGATTCAGATCTAGAGCTCCATCTGTGATTTTGTCTGGGCGTCAGGTTGCTCTGAGGAAAAGCTTGATAAGTCTCTCTCTGAGCGTTAGACTTTACCAGCTAAATTACGTTTTGAGAATATGAGGTCGGTTGCACTATAGATGGGTGGATATGTAATTCAAGACCTGGCTTTTTGGAATGACAGGTGGAATTAAATCTTCCAATTAAAAGTAAGCATGTGCTGTTTTCCATCAGGCTGACTGTGTCCTTGCAGTATGGGTTGCGTACATACTACAGACTATGTCATGCTATACAACATAAGATAAGGCAAATGGTTTTGTTGTTTAGAAAAATAATTGGGCACTTTACAAATAGCATTGATGGCACAAGGAAGGTGATTTCACACATGGATTATTTCCAGACTTTATTTTTTAAAAACTATTAAAAAGCTCTAAATTCATGAGAATCAAAAGCACTTAATTTTAATGCATACTAAGCTCTGTAATCACTTATTTTATATTTGAATCCTTTTGTTTTAAGTCTCCATTTCTAGCACTTTAATAGAAGGCTTAGTACAAGGATATGATATGCAACTTCAGGTTTTCTATGAAACAGACCCCTTGCATTCCTCCTTTTCATGTCAACCTTAAGTGCCTCACAATTTAGCTACCTTGTTTCTGATGGGAGCTTATTTTAGAAAAACTCACAGTAAATGTCATCTCTAGTATGTGAACTTTTAGCTAACATCAACAGTGCTACTGGCTGTCTTTTTTTCTTTCCCTTTAACAATTATTTGTTTAGCGAGTGACTTAATTCATCTGTGGATTTGTTACACTATTATCAGGAGTCGTTAATGTTCTGAATTTAGTTCAGCTAAAGAATTTGAGTTTATACTGCTTTTCTGCTTTCTTCAGGTAATACAGGGTATATTAAAAAAGCAGATTTTGCTGAGGGGGAGGAGCAGATCCTCAGGATTAGTTTAGATTATTAATGCTGAAAAACATGTGCCTTATCTTGTGTTAAAACGCTCATAATGTTCTTTAGAAATAATACAAGGCTGCTCTATGCAAATATTTTCATTAAAATGGATATTGAAAAGGATTGCATTTTCAATAAAGGGGGTAAAAGCGTTTCAATAGTGATTGGCATTGACATTATTTTGGCTGCAATTTTCAATGTTAATAGTGGGGAAAGGGTCAGTTTGGTTTTAGTTTTATCCCTGGCAAATTGCACTGCACAGTACAGAAAGATTATTCTTCTTGTGTACGTTGAGTAATTTGGAAAGCTTTGTGCAAAATGCTAAATTGGGGAAAGAAAAGAAATCAATAGAGAAGTTCTATTTGCAATAGGTTTTATTTTCACGAAAAAACCCAAACTAAACATATCCACTAAACATTCTGGGGTTTTGTTTTGCTTTTATGTGAGGACTGTAAAATTGAAGACACCAGTGTTTGGTGCAAAATAATAATCTACGTGAAAAATACAGAAATGTGTATATGTTCAAAATATTTCATGCTCTTGTGTGTTGTATAGTTCATATATAATAAAATGTCTTTGTAAAATATTTTAAACAGTTAATTTTAAAGTATTACATCGTTATACGTTAAGAACAATTTTATTACATTTGTTATATATAATGTAAAATGGCAATTTAGCCAGTTTGTTTGAAACAGGCAAAAGTAAATTGGCTCCCTCCAGATAGTTGTTTATATTGTTTAATAAAGGACAATCACTTAAAATTGGAATCCTTTCATAGCTGAAACATGCTTTCTTTGAAGAAGAGTATATTTTCTTCCGTTCTGTGTGAAGTGATACATTAGGCCAAACTTCTAACTCAGTTACAACTATTCAGATTGATAAGTTCAGCTGTTCTTTTAAGTGAAATTAGTATATATGAAAGGGACATTAAGGAAGTTACTATTCAGGAAAAGCCCATAAAAACATTGTGGGTTTCATAATAAGGTCGGGTTTTTTTGTTTTTTTTTCCCATGGTTTAGATTTTGTTTTCAGCACAAGGCAATAGTAACAAATTCACTTATTATAATTTGAATTAATCCTTGTTTCTGTCTTTTTTTAATTGAATATGATGTTTTAAGCCAATATCCGAAATGTCTTCCATATCTAGCTAGTGTGTCATGTTTGCATTTGAACTGGAAAATTAGAAAAAATGCTGTAAAACCAGAAGGTTGAAAGGGATAATGTATGTGTTCCATCTAACAAACCATTATATATCCTGTTTATGAATTTAGTTAAACCAAATACATGTTGTCCTATCACTAAGTGCCATGGATGCAGTACTACAACAGTGCTGCCCTACTTAATGTAAACAAGTTAGTTGTTTATATGCATATCAGCGTATTTTGTGCATTATCTTATGCGTACAACGTTGACTGTATTAGTGCACTCTTGATCTGCACCAAACTGTACCTACAGTGCACAGGTGTTTCTGAATTGGATCTCTATTAGTCCTTCAGGTCTGTTATAAGTAAGATTATAACCCAGTGTTAGTCAGTATTACTGTCCATTTTTGTACAAGTTTTCTTACCTTGTTTTCCTTTCCGGTTCTCTCTCCTTGGCTATGCCTGCACATACCATGCAATACACCTCTTGCGTTAAGGTATGGTTCTGTAGCGCTCTTGCTCATCTCCACTAAAGTTTGTAAGACATAATACATGGTAATAAAATATTCACTTGAATGTAGCTGAAATGTATGTTCTTTTACTACAAAAAATGTTTGATTTCAGCAGTATACAAAAAAATACGTTATCATATGGTTACTAATATCTTTTGAGAGCTTGTCATCTAAAATAGTTTACAAAACTTGTTATTTACGTCACTGTGGACTTTGCACTTCTCTGAATATTAGATGCAAATACAATGTATATAATTTAGAGTGGTGAACAAATGTGTATTTGTCCATGGAATTAGTATTTTATACTTGCATGAAAATGAGTTTATAAATAAAGTTTGTAAATAGCAAGCCACAATTAGTAGTTGGAAGGCTCTTATATTTATTGCTTAGTTACAGTAAATTCACAGTCGAGCAGTACTGAGGCAGAAACAGGTTTCTGTGTTGGTGCTGCTGAAAAGAAGCATGTTCTCTTTTGTGGTCTGTAGCTGGCCATTAATTGGTACTTACATTACATTGGTATTTGCTGTTTATTAGTAGTTTATAGAGACATTCAGTTAAGAAAACAGTTTCTTTCTAATAATATTTGCTAATATTACTGTTTCCTGTGTACTCTGTTGGCTTTGCATGATAATCTTTTAAATTGTTTGTAATGCTAAGTCAAATGTTTCACTGTAATTCCCTATGCAGTTTACCAAATTTACAATATTTCTGTTTAGTGCCATGATGGACAATAATTTAATTGGCTGGAACTACACAATTGTCCTGTAAAATGTATTAAGACAAATGTCTTATCCGGAATCAATACTAGGCTATGAACTCTGTATGTCAGTCCTATTGTTTACTCTCCTTGCACTGCACGAAAGACATGCCAAGGTACGAGTATAATTCAACAAGACTGCAAATCTATAAGATAACATCTGGAAATAATCAAGCAATAATATAAGCAACATTGGCCATCCTTTTCTTTGTAGTCTGTTGCATTTGTTAAAAGTACACTTTCAAGCCACATATCAACCTGTCTCCAGAAGCATAGGACCTTACTGTCCAGATTTGTTTGAAGGAAGGAGATACTTTCTTCTGGAAAATGACATTTTCTTTCTAATTTATGAATTTTTTTCTTCTTTGTCCTAATTCAACATGAAAGTTAACAACCAGAGTGATACAAAACCAGTGGCAGGGCACTGCATCAAAACCTCAGGCAATTTGTTGGTAGAAGTCATCTTACTCAAGGCTCTGTCAGAGGGAAGCTTTTCCAAATAGCTATTTTGGAGATCTTTTAGTGAGGAGCCATGTCTTCCACTCATTTAAACTGAGAGCTGTTTTATTCTCAGGTGATTTTGTTTATCTGAGGACTGGCTTTTTAAGTAGTTACTTCTATCTAGAGTAAGAGCCTCATTCTACTTCTAATATTTTTATTCTGTCATTAATTAATTTAGCAAATTATCTTCCTGCCTTCATTCCTCTCTGCCCAGGCATCCTTCCTTGCTAGCTGATGCTTGTACTTCTCACTAAGTAATACAAGACAAAAACATCTTTAGATATCCAAAATATAAGTTGACATCTAAAACTAAAAATGAAATTTCCCCCATTGTATACTTTGCACAATCTAAACATGTCATTTCCAGCATGGGGCACTGTTCAGTTTCACCCATTTCATTCCTGTTCCCTCCAGGCAGCACTGCTCGCTTTGATTGCTTATCAATGAATCTGAGCCAGGTCTGCAGAGGTCTTTCACTCTAGCAAGTTCTGCTGCATTGATTTTTCTGATGAACCCACATTCTATAAATCCTCTTATCTCTCGAAGTTTGTCTTCCTGGCAAGTGAAGAAGAACTGTAGTATTAAGGCATCAGTATCTAAGTGAAAAAATTTCAAAGATTCAACCAAATATGTGAAATCAAGGATGCAATCAATCTTATGAGATAATAAGTTTTCTTCTTAATAACCTGACTTTTCTATTCAATGTCCAACACATAATGTTACTACTATTAAATAAAGCTATATACACTTAATTTCCAAAGTAGGCAGTCTGAGAAAAGGAGAGGTCCCTCAGCCTTAAACTTTTCTATGATTTATGCTGAAGCTAACAGGCTCTTATCTTCTCTTGAATCTGGCCTGGATAAAAATAAAAGTATGAGCAACACTGCTTATAACTTTTATTACTTACTAAATTAACTTCAAAATTAATAACTTCAACAGATATTTTAACACATTTTGAAGGCTGTATATGATCATAATCATCTGGATGTCTGAAATCTATGAAGGTAAGTCTGAGAAGTTTCATTATTAAAAAAATAAATTATAAAAACAGTAGAGGATGCCTGAGGGATGTTTGGACTAATTGGAATCCTTCATGCTGCATAATAGAAATAATAATAATAATAAATGTAAAAGTTCCTCTTCTTCTTTCAGAATGTAAATTTTTGATCAATTTTTCTGCTTTTTGCTGGTTATGGACAGTCAGACTTCCCACATCACAGAGTAGTGGGCATCTCTGTTCATGGTATGAACCAGAAGGACTCGACTCCTTGTTAGTGAAAGAGCTAAATTAGAAGAAACAATGAAATTAATTTGTGACACCCATCAGTAAAGTTTTGAGAGGGA